CTGGTCACTGAGTGTGAATATATGTCTGTGTATATATATATACACAGTATGTATGTTGTTGTGTGGCCCTAATACTTAGTCATACATTTGTGAAAAGGAGTCAACATAATTGGAATAATAAACCAAACATATCTGCAAATGTGATATTTTTCTTGTATTTTTGGTATTGAATATGGTAAATCTCACAAAATGTAAAGCTAATATTTCTAAATCACTAATTTTAGGGATTGTATTAAATGCTGTTGTCTAAAAGAAATAAGTTTACAAAGCTAATGGCTAATGACTTGTGCTAACCCAAAGATAATTAAGAGTGTCACATCATTTATATACTGTAACAGCTTTACCCATATTTATTTAGTTATACCCAATCAGCCATTTATCAAACATTCTTATGTGTCATAACTTACACTCCAACATGCTGTGTATACTTTTGGCATAAACGACACTAGTGTTGTGTATAAACTCAACATAAGTCAAAAACCCTCTCATAGGCTTGTACAATATAAGTTGTATAAAAGTTAGCGATCAAGTTATGAATAAGTTACTCATGTTATACATTTGTTTAGCTTATCAGCAATGCAGAATGTATACAAAAGAGGCTTCCTGTTTTTATTTATTTTAAGGGACACACCTGATTGGACAAGCAAAAAGGGGGCATTAGTCAGGGGGCCACCAACCGAATAGATGATAGTTGCTTAAGTGTGTCTTCATACCTAATAAAGAACTCTCAGTTACATTTCAAAATAAGAGCAAAATCAGCCTGTATTGCTTTTTTGAAGATATTTAAAAGTAGGAAGGGCCAAATGTTTGTTTTTAATGATACATTGTCATTTCATTAAAAAAATAATAATTTTTGGCTGCTAAAATTAATGTGAAAGTAACTAGCCTGGTTCTAGCCTTCCTACACAGTTCTACTCAATTCTAGTTTCCTTTCACATCATTTCTCCCACATTTCTCAGGTAGAATTTCAACTGGGCCAATCAGCAAACAGAAGTAAGAGTTGTGAACAACAACATCGATTTTCTGCGCCTCTAGTTTAGCAATGGCAGCAGAGGAAGTGAATGAAGCCAGTCTGTGACAAAGCTTCCAAATTTAATTTAATTTAATTTAATTTAATTTAATTTGTCTCACAAGGCCTGCAGGACTCTTACAGCTGGCTCATTTGGTTTGAAACTGCTCTCTTCCCAGTAGGAGATGGTTTACGGTGCACCCAGTTTCAACAACTTTGTCTTATTTTTAACAAATGTGCAAAATATAGCTCAGAAAAAGTCTATTACAAGTAAATAGATAAAAAAAAATAGGTAAAATAAAAATAAAGGGGCCTGGTTAGAAAACATTACATTTTTAAAGAGTTTTTTGTTTTTCCAAGTTTCCCAGCAATGCATGTTTTTAAATCAGATTCTTTAAAAATTATTATGAGGGGATTTTTTTCCACTCCCATTTCATCTTGTAAACATATTTGCTAGTATTACAGTTAGATTAATTAAATATATTTTATCTGAAGAAAAGGTTGAATTGTTAAAAATAAGCAAAAATTGCAATTTTGATAATACAATGTTTTTCCTAACTTTTGGCGACTTTGCACATCTGACCAAAATAATACAACATGAGAACATTCCACAAATGTTCAGTTCTTTCACCTTCACCCTGACATAAAGAGCAGCTCTTACAGACATGTGGGTGAAAAATATCAACAAACATCTTTAACTGGACAATATCTGTACGATTTTGGATAAGAATTATTTGATGGGAGGTGGAAAATTCTGCGGTTTTGGGAAAAAAAGAGCCGAACTGGTCGACTCTTGTAAGCTAATGTTCTAACAACAGTTTAGCTGCAGCAGCTTGTCTGGGTTTGTTTAGTTCTTTAACACTAGTAACACAGAAAGACGTAAATTTGTATTTATCAAGACTACAGCTAATATCTGTCTACGTTTACGCTTGACCTCTGGTTCCTTTCTACCCTTAAAATGAAAGTTTTTAAGATTATTTTCAGATATTCATGAAATCTGAAGTTTTCTGTTTTACACGGGGTTTTAGCTAAATAAAGTGAGGTGATGACGCATGTTCTGTAATCCCTGCTGGATGCAGTCCAGTTGTCCCCCTCATACAATGCTGTTATTGCAAGTATAACTCAGCCCCCTGTGAGCAAAAGGTGTGAATCAGGGCCTCAATGATAGTTAGGTGATGGAGCACATGACCCTCTACAATAGAGCTAATCAAGCCTATTGTTAGGCGATGGTCCTCTTTTGCATATGACTAACCTGTTCGTCCATGTGGAGGCAGCACTTATAAGGCTGAGTTCACCTGAAACTAGGGGTGGGCTATACTGGGAATTTTGGTATCGATCCGATACCAAGTTAATACTGTGGTAGAATCGCTTATTTCGATACTGATTCTGACACTGGGGGGCGGGGCTGTCGGCTGCGAAGATGACAGCGCCTGCTGCAAAGCATGCAGGAGGAAGGGAGAATTCAAGAAGTGCAGAACTTATTACTAGTCTCATTACTAGCAGCAGAACTCATTTGATGTTATTGTTTTTTTAACGTCCTACAGCAAGGCTATTCAACTGGTGGCTCGTGGGCCACATCCGGCCCACGTGTGACCAGAGTTCGGCCCGCCAATTGGTTCATTCATCTCTGAAGCCCAAACTCCCGGTATTCTACTTTAATTTCTCTAAGTTCTTTTACTTAAACAAAGACATGTTTGATATCTACAGAAACCTCAGAATCCTGGCTAGAAGCTGCTAAAATTCATTTCTATAAACACTCAAGACAGTTAAAACTACAAGCAGTTGAAGATAAAATGATGAAAGTGAAAATAAAATTGGTTTAAAAATTTGGCAAGTCAGAGATGTCAAATTAATATTTGTGTCAAACTGGAGGCATAATGTGTTCCTTTTGTTTTTGATAATGTTTAATTATCTCTACTTTTATAGGGTTCTGTATGTGTTATTCATGATTAAATGCAGCAAAGTAAACTAATTCAAAGGTAATAGATCTTTGTAATACTTGGTTTATTTACATAACTTTAATTGCTGGATGTTCAGCCCCTCGGCTGTTGACCTGCAGTAACTGTGGCCCCCGGAGCAGTTTAGTTGAATATCCCTGTCCTACAGGCTCTGACATGTTAAATAAATTTGAAACTGAGGTTTTGAAAAAATCCATTAAACTTGAAAAAATGAGTGAGATTTCGCTATACATCCATATACCTGCAAAATGATGGAAAGTCTGTGTAAATTATGGACAATCCGTACAACTTGACATGTATGAATTTTCCTTGAAGAATTATACCGTAAGACCATGGATTATCTATAAAATGTTGAACACAGTATGTCACAA